TTGGATCACTCGCTGTCAGTACTTACTGTAAGATGCACTTTAGCTTTGGATCACTCGCTGTCAGTACTTACTGTAAGATGCACTTTAGCTTTGGATCACTCGCTGTCAGTACTTTCTGTAAGATGCACTTTAGCTTTGGATCACTCGCTGTCAGTACTTACTGTAAGATACATTTTAGCTTTGGATCACTCGCTGTCAGTACTTACTGTAAGATGCACTTTAGCTTTGGATCACTCGCTGTCAGTACTTACTGTAAGATGCACTTTAGCTTTGGATCACTCGCTGTCAGTACTTACTGTAAGATACACTTTAGCTTTGGATCACTCGCTGTCAGTACTTACTGTAAGATACATTTTAGCTTTGGTTCACTCGCTGTCAGCACTTACTGTAAGATACATTTTAGCTTTGGATCACTCGCTGTCAGTACTTACTGTAAGATACATTTTAGCTTTGGATCACTCGCTGTCAGCACTTACTGTAAGATACATTTTAGCTTTGGATCACTTTGCTGACAACAGATGAAATACAAAATTCTTACCTGAAACAATGATATTCACATAATGTCTATGACCCATGGGGGTGATACACGTGAACTGACCAGAGTCATCTTTCTGCGCGTGGTAAATGGACAGTCGATACTCCAGCTGTGGGTCACGACCTGGTTCGTTAGTCCAACCTGAAAGGCCAAATAATATTAACCATAACAAATACTAGTACACCATCAAAAGAATTAAATAATAAACATGAGTACACCATAAAAATACTTTAATAACAAACATGGGTACAACACCAAAAGAATTAAATAATAAAAATTAGTACACCATCAAAATACTTTAATAACAAACATGGGTACACCAACAAAAGACTTAAATAATAACAGACATGGGTACACCAAAAGAATTAAATAATAACAAACATGGGTACACCAACAAAAGACTTAAATAATAACAGACATGGGTACACCAAAAGAATTAAATAATAACAAACATGGGTACACACCAAAAGAATTAAATAACAAGCATGGGTACACCGTCAAAAGTCTTAAATTCTCAATAATTCGTTTCCACATAGCTATGTATAAGAACATAAGTGGGCGTTTTTTGAACCATCTTTTATTATGAAACTTGTATATTTTATGTAAAGGAGCTTGTTCCCATACTGTGTAATAGTCAACATGTTTAGTTAGCCTAAAGTCCACTATTTTAGAAAACAAAGAAGCTTAAACTCAAGTTACTCACCTTCCGGGTATTTTCTGTAGGAGTGGCTAACTTCCCATTTTGGTGTTCCATACTTCCGGATCCACAAACATTCTAGATGTAGGATGGTTCCAGGATACACCACTAGTTTCCCGTCGTTACTCTGAGCTATCGGTCCCAGCTGGTGGCGGAACAGTATTGTCGGTGGCTTCTCCACTTTGGAAGATGAAATAAATTAATTTATATTGATGATATTCTGTTTTAATATATGGTTTTTAAAATAATCAGTAAACCTTCACTGACACAATGTTATTTTAATACTAATCTTTTGATTCAGACTTTTCTAAAAATAAATCATATGGACATCTGTAGTAACATCAACCAGCAATTCACACCGTTCAGCAACGGTGTTCATCTAACTTTTCTATATACCCTTGATCAGGGAGGTGTACACACAACACTTCTCTACACACCCAACAGGAGGAAGGTACATACAAAACACTTCTCTATACACCCTACAGGAGGAAGGTATATACAAAACACTTCTCTATACACCCCATCAAGAGGAAGGTTTATACAAAACACTTCTCTATACACCCCATCAAGAGGAAGGTATATACAAAACACTTCTCTATACACTCCTTCAAGAGGAAGGTACATACAAAACACTTTTCTGTACATCATTCAGGAGGAAGGTACATACAAAACACTTTTCTATACATCATTCAGGAGGAAGGTATATACAAAACACTTCTCTATACACCCTTCAGGAGGAAGGTATATACAAAACACTTCTCTATACACCCCTTCAAGAGGAAGGTACATACAAAACACTTTTCTATTCACCCTTCAACAAGAAGGTGTACACACAACTTCTCTACACACCCTTCAACAGGAAGGTGTACACACAACTTCTCTACACACCCTTCAACAGGATGGTGTACACACAACTTCTCTGCACACCCTTCAACAGGAAGGTGTACACACAACTTCTCTACACACCCTTCAACAGGAAGGTGTACACACAACTTCTCTACACACCCTTCAACAGGATGGTGTACACACAACTTCTCTGCACACCCTTCAACAGGAAGGTGTACACACAACTTCTCTACACACCCTTCAACAGGAAGGTGTACACACAACTTCTCTACACACCCTTCAACAGGAAGGTGTACACACAACTTCTCTACACACCCTTCAACAGGAAGGTGTACACACAACTTATCTACACACCCTTCAACAGGAAGGTGTACACACAATTTCTCTGCACACCCAACAGGAGGAAGGTATATACAAAACACTTCTCTATACACCCCTTCAAGAGGAAGGTACATACAAAACACTTTTCTGTACATCATTCAGGAGGAAGGTACATACAAAACACTTTTCTATACATCA